GCTAATCGACCTGTACATGGAGGACCGCAAACGTCTTTTAGCGTTGCCTTCAGCTGTCTCTTCTGTGCCTCTCGCTCCTCCCTCTTCTGCGCCGCCGCCAGGTTCCCCAGACAGCAACAGCAGCGGCCCAACCACTTCTTATGCTCCGGCCTCGGGAACTCCTTTGACAGCGCCTTCGTCTTCCCTGGCTGTGAGTTACCTTTTTTTTCTTTTTTTTCTAGTTCTTCGGATGTTAAGTGTTTTTTGTTTTTTTTTCCTCAGTGGTCGAAGCTGTGTTTCTCGTTTCCTTGAAATGATGGGTATATTTATTTAATCAATTTAGTCGGGAATGTTTTGCATTTTAAAAAGAAATATATATATATATATATAGAAGGGGGATGGAAGTAATTCATGGTGGGATTGAATCAGTTCGTGTGGAAAATTATATCAACCAGTAGGTTTCAGGTAACGAAATGTATTGTTAGCAGTGTGTTTAGGCAGGGGGGGGGGGGGGGGGGATTGAGTGTTCTTGCGTGTGCATGATGAAAGGAGGGGGAAGGGAGAGTCAAGTGTGCGTGCGTGTTTGAGAGAGAGAGAGAGAGAGTGAGTGAGTGAGCGAGTGAGTGAGTAAGTGAGTGAGTGAGAGTGCGTGTGCGTCCGTGCGTGCGTGCGTTTGTGTGTCTGTGCGTGTTGATAACTACCATTGTGTACTCAGGTATGTCTTATATATGAATTTTGAAGAGGGGGGTTTCAAATTGAAATATTTAACATGTGAAAAAGGACATACTGAAACTGTAATGAAATACTGAAACAAAATAGAGACTCAAAGTTTGTGCGATTTTATATTGAAAACGTTAATGCAGCATAAAAAATTAATAATATGAATACCAACAAAATAAAATGTTATCTGACAACAGAATGAGTTACAGCTGTTTAATTCTAACGTTGACTTTGCATGGCCACCCTCTTCTAACCTAGCAAATGCTTATCCAAGAATTAACGAATAATCAACACTTACATCATATTCACATAGACAAACACACACCTACACTGTTTTATAATCAAGCTTATATCAACATGCACACACACACAAATGTACATGTATGCATACTCATGTTTATAGGTTTATGCATGCAATTTTTCAGAATCACCAGTATGTGCACACGTGGATAATGCTATGTGCTTCAACATATATGCATACAGTGAATGTCTCTCTCTCTCTCTCTCTCTCTCTCTCTCTCTCTCTCTCTCTCTCTCTCTCTCTCTCTCTCTCTCTCTCTCTCTCTCTCTATCTCTCTCTCTTTCTCTCTCTCTCTTTCTCTCTCTCTCTCATTTTTTTTTCTCTCTCCCTCTTTCACTCTCTCTTTCTCTCTCTCTCCCTCTCCCTCCCCCTCTCCCCCTCTCCCCTCTCCCTCTCCCTCCTCTCCCTCCTCTCCCTCCTCTCCCTCTCATTCCTCTCTCTCTCCCTCCTCTCCCTCTCATTCCTCTCTCTCTCTCTCTCTCTCTCTCTCTCTCTCTCTCTCTCTCTCTCTCTCTCTCTCTCTCTCTCTCTCTCTCTCTCTCTCTCACTCTCTCTCACTCATTCACTCACTCACTCACTCAGTCACTCACTCACATCCCCCCCTTCTCCTTCTATTAAAACCTAACATTCCTACTTACCTACTTACTGACTTACTTACCTAATTACCTACTTACTTACCAACCTACTTTTACTTACCTATCTAACCATTTACCTGCCTTACATACCACCTACCTACCTACCTACCTACCTACCTACCTACCTACCTACCTTCCTACCTACCTACCAACCCTGTCTACCTTCCTATCTTCCTACCTACCTACCTACCTACCTACCTTAGATGGGTAGGTAGGTAGGTACCTACCTACTTATCTACCTGTCTACCTGAACCAACCTACCTGTGTACCTACCTAAGTAATTACTCCTCTCTCTCTCTCTCTCTCTCTCTCTCTCTCTCTCTCTCTCTCTCTCTCTCTCTCTCTCTCTCTCTCTCTCTCTCTCTCTCTCTCTCTCTCTCTCTCTCTCTCTCTCTCTCTCTCTCTCTCTCTCTCTCTCTCTCTCTCTCTCTCTCTCTCTCCCTCCCTCCCTCCCTCCCTCCCTCTCTCTCTCCCCCTCTCTCTCTCTCATACTCTTTTCTTCCCCCCATTCATTCAAACATTCTCACCACAAAGAACTAATATTTTATGTAAAAAAAAAAAATGTTTCCATGCAGAATTTATAGGTAAAATATGAATGGATTCTCTGACATTTAGAAATTGTAGCCCTATCAGGAAGCATAACCAGAAAGTTTTAAACGAACTGAAACATTTAGTATCTAAACCATTCCTCCCGAGATTATGACTTGACTTTCAATCACTGGTCTATTGCCTTTCCTTATTGGCATCTTCCCTTTGTTTCAGGTTGTCTCATACCTCTCACCTGAGTGTGTTGAGGACTTACACAGATCATACACTTTATATACAAATCACTAGAGCACTTCATGGAAATCTTGTTTTACCAAAGACTGCTCTGTAGTGCACAAAGAATTGAGTATTGTAGACTATCTTTGATTAGCTTTGTCAGAGGTTTTTTTTTTCTTTATTTTTTTTTTTTTTTTACAGGTATTGCTGCATAACTGAGTTTCCTTGTTAGACTGTAGTTATTTTTATCCATTAATGGAAGTTTCTGTATGATTGAGAGGAGCAACTTTCAGAAAGCTACACAATTCATACCCTCTCTTAACTGATATGAAACCCCAAAATTGCATGTGATGTGCCCGACACTTCTGAATCCACACTGCAGATTTTACCGGAGTTACTGACTAGCATTTTCTCCCCAAGGTTTTAGAAGGAAAGGTAGACAACACTCCCGCACAGTACCCATACTCTTATTTTTTCTTATTATTCGAAGAGATTGCCTGTAGTGTGTTATTATACTTATCATTATCATTTAAACCACACACCAAATTCCCACCAGCCAACCTCCCCTTGCCACCCGCCACCCTGCTCCAAGCCTCACTCTTAGGTGCGTAGGTGACCCTCTCACCCATCTCACTCTATAGGTTCCAGGTGCTCCTCCGCCCTACACATCGGTTCTCAAGCCCAAGCCGATCCTGGTGGATAAGCAGGCATCAGAACCCAATACCCCCACAAGCAAGCACTTTGAGAGACCCATGACCAGGGGTTATTCTGATGTCTCTCAGAGAATGAAAAAACGGGTTACTTTAAGGTATTAGTACTTCAAATTTCATATTGACTAAAGTGCTTGAAAGTTTACAATTAGTAATTTTGACCAAATATTAGAACCTTCTTTATTTTTTTCTTTGTTACGGTTACCCCCTGACCTACGGATCAATGTCTGGAGTGGGCATTTGAAGTGTGGTACAATTTGCTTATTGATTTTTTTTTGGCATAAAATGGGTATCTTTAGTAGTGGTTTGGTGCCAGTATCATCCAAAGTTCTTTATATCTTCATTTATATAATGGTTGTCTAATGGTCATTCCATATAGATTTTTACCATATGGAATGTTATAATATTGCTCCTTGATATTATATATATACTAACTCTTACCTTTATATTCTCCAAAATCCCTTTCTTTCAACTTTTGTGTAGTTTTGCTGCATTGATAGAATATATTAAATACCATGAAATGTTGGAATGTATATTAATCAGTTTTATACCACAGTGCACTTTCTTGATATACTGTATATGTTTATTCACCATTAATGCTTGTTTACCACTTTGTATGCACAGCTTTGTCCCCATTTCCTTATTTTCATTCATATGTTTTTTTCCTTTGGAAGAATCCTAAGTCAGATTTGGCTTTTTTATATATATATGATTTCCAATGCTTTTCTCCTTTTATTTCTTGCTTATTTTCAGCTCTCTCTCTCTCTCTCTCTCTCTCTCTCTCTCTCTCTCTCTCTCTCTCTCTCTCTCTCTCTCTCTCTCTCTCTCTCTCTCTCTCTCTCTCTCTCCTCTCTCTCCTCTCTCTCTCTCTCTCTCTCTCTCTCTCTCTCTCTCTCTCTCTCTCTCTCTCTCTCTCTCTATATATATATATATATATATATATATATAAATATATATATATTGCCTATATATCTATCTAGCTATCTAGCTTTGTATCTATCTGTCTGTTTCTATCTCTCTTTCTTTCACTTCCTCACTCTTTCTCTTATCACCTTTTCCTCTTTCCATTTCCATATCTCCATTTTGTTTGGCTTTAGTTTGTTTCCTAGTTCCTCTCAGAACTTTTTAATGACTTTTTTATGACTTGCATGGCAGACTAACAACCCATTTTCTCTTTGCTTGTTGAATTTCCTTAAATTCCATGTGTATCTGATTGGGTTTCCATCACAATTTCTTGTATTTATTTTATCCTCTCCAAAAGGCCTGTAATCTGCAGTAACATGTGGCTATACATTAAACTGAACACAAATATACATTATATATACCATCACAGTATGGTATTGTCCAGGATAAGCACTATGAACATGTACTTCCTTTATGTTACATTTTTTATCTTTTTTTTTCTGTTGTTAAAAGTTGGTATGCATGTCAGATTCATTAGTGCAAAACATCCACAGGTATACATTAAAAATTACAAATGGATTTATCAGAAAATAATTATAATAATAATAAAAGAATAACAATAAAAGATAAATGTTCCCATGCAAAAAATATAAATAATGTTAACTTTTCTCAACTTTTCCTCGTCACCCAATCACCATGACCTCCAGCTCGCTGCCGTCCCGACACTCCTTGGAAGTGAAAGAACCCGACTTGCTTCAGGTGCCACAGGTCGTTCAGATAGAGCATTTGGCCGCCCCGTACATCGACGATGACTGTGATTCTACCTATCAAGGTAAAAAATTTTGCTGAGGGGCTGAATTATTTTATTATCATTGATATTTTTGTAGGTACTTTATTTTGATATGTATGATGTAGTAGTGTTGATTATATGATCCAAAGAAACTTTTTTTCCAATAAAAAATTATTAGGAAAGTAATGAATGAAAAGTATCTTTAGTGTCAGTGTGGTTATTTCATACATAGTAATACACAAGTTATTAAGTAAAGTAAATTGTTAATAAATTATCAGTTCATCAGTAAGGTACTTAATTTATATATTTTTTCCAGAAGATGAGTGCTGTACAATGGTAACTGAGTGTGATTCCCTAATGATCTCAGAAGAGGATCATACAATTCAAGAGGAACCGGCCACTATCTGCGAAGAGAATGAAGTGTCAAACTTTGTCATACCAACCATTTCTGCATCCGTGGCTCAGGAGGCCACATCCTTGCAAGTTCCTCCCCCAAGCATACTAAGTCACACATCAGATGTGAATCACCACAACAGCAGTCAGCACCACCACTCCAAATACCATTACCCAAGACACTCTCTCTTTGGCCATCACCACTCTTACCCGCCACCATCGTCATATTCATCAGCGCCGTCTTCATCGTCATACACACTCCTGCCCGTCCTTGAGCCTCCTGTATTGGTGACAGAGAGCATTGAGCTTCATGCCACTGAGGGCTCTGCATGCTTGCCGCCAGAGATCATCACCACCATAGCAATGGAGGAGTCGTCATCTTCATGATGGTGCAAGAAAGGAAAACAATGCTTCTTGCTCAGGGCACTTGAAAATCCATTATTTTTTACCATCTTTTCTCACTACTACATTTGTGTAGTTATACCTAATATATCCCTCTTTTTTCAGAGATATGAATTATTCTAATGTTTTTGTTTTTTTTAAGTAGCTTTTGGTATACGAATTCTAGGTCAACATGTGAAAAATATTGGGAATGAGATCTCTCTAACTTTATGTTTTCCTACTTGCTTGAGACAAAGTAGACTTGATTATGAACAATAAGCAGCAATGAATCAAGAAGGTCCTCAGGCACTGAGACCTTCTTTTGCAAAGTAATCTTTCACTTATGTCATACATGAGGTATCTGAGCTTTCTATGTGATAATTGCTTAATTTGTAAGATTAAGATTTGATTCTAAATAAGCCATGACCCTCAGTTCTCTTCATTTTCTTTGCTGACCTTGTGAATTTTGCTGGAGACATCTGTATCACTCTAAACATATTTGGACAGCACTCAGACTCTTTAGTCTTCACCTAGAGGTCAATATAGTTCTGAATCAGCTACAGATAGGAGCTTAATTTCTCTTCTATTTTCACTTGGTAATATACATAATAGATTTCCCATAGTGGCTTATCAATGACTAGCATATAATTTAAAGTCACTGGATAGTTTAAAGAGTGAAACATGAGGAGAGTAGTATTGGTCATAAATTAACAGGTTTTTCCTCTTCTGGAGTGGGGATAAGCTTGTGTGTTCATCAATGTCAAAATGACATATATATACATATGAACTCTACCTAAATGAGATTCTGTACTCACTAGTACTTTGACATGATGTAATGAAGAAAGTGATGGGTCTAATCATGAATATTCTATGAAATACATTTTCATATTTATATTCAGGTGTTTACAGTTAACTCTGATATAGATCAGAGAAAAAAATACATCTTGTCACTTTTGGTGCTGGCTTAAGTCCAATTAAATATTCATATTAGTTTTAATATTAATGCATCTAATGAGTATATGATCTTTGACAGGGGATACTAAACCTTCATAATTTTATCTTATGAGTTTGGTTTCCTTTGTCATTTCATCATTTAGATCTCTTCATCACACAAAAAACTATGTCTTGGAAACAGTATTAGTAATTTCTGGTATTTGTTACAGTGAAAGAAGATTGCATCTCAATCAGCCCATGTAGTCATGGAGATAATGAAGTCTATTCATACATTACCAGTCATTCTTTCTTCTTTTTTCATCTTCTAGGCCAATGCATTTTATATAAATCATAATGTATCAAATACCATAATAACACTGAAGGGTTCCTGTTGCCAAGATTGTTCATTTCAAGCAAGCCAACCCTTGAAGGTAATAATGATCATTTTTAAGTATGGTACTATTCCTTGTCTACCTTTCACGTGAAACTTTGCTGCCAGTACAATTCAAATCATGGATTTTCTAGCACCGATCCTCACCAAACATCTAACAGAATAGACGTTTGTGGAAGTTTTATCACTTCTTTAAAGATTATTTTCATACTTTGGCCTTCATGAAACCCCTAGAAAAAAATAAATATTATTAAATCTAATTCATATCAAAGATATGGAAAAGGAAATCCAGAGCTTTGTTATTTTGGCATAGTAGTAAATTCTAATTACCGTACTTTTGATACACTCATTTAGAAGAGAAACGGGCAATTAATGACAGCTGTCTGATAACATTAATAAATGGATCAATAACAGAGGTAGACATTTTGAAAGAGCAAGATAGATAAGCAGCTGAGAGAATAATTGATAGTTGAATATCAAATATCATCAAGCTGTAAAACTTGTATGGGATTGAAATCTAACTTATTTGTATTCATTTATATGGTAATATTTACTTTTGCATCAGCACTTTTTACTTCTTTCAGTGTGCATGTGTGTGTGTATATATGGATGTGTGTGTGTGTGTGTGTGTGTGTGTGTGTGTGTGTGTGTGTGTGTGTGTGTGTGTGTGTGTGTGTGTGTGTGTGTGTGTGTGTGTGTGTGTGTGTGAGTGCGTGCATGCGTGCATGCACCTGTGTGGGTGCGTATGTGAGTGTGTGTCCATGTGCGTGTGCGTGTGCAGTGCATGCAGGCATCCATGTGTGTGTGTGTGTGTGTGTGTGTGTGTGTGTGTGTGTGTGTGTGTGTGTGTGTGTGTGTGTGTGCATGCATGTGTACATGAGTGCATATGCAGGTATGCAGGTATGCATGTGCATGCATGTATCCGTCTGTCTGTTTGTATATGGTATATATCCCCTCAACCTTTTTTTTGAACATTTATCTGTCAAAAATCTTACTAAATCTATTCCTAGATCTCTTAGACTATCTTTTCAAAATGATAATATGTAATTGTGATATTGTACAGGACAAACTCATAGTGGTGTATTTTACGACAAGACTGATGTATTTAAATATTAACATGCTGAAATTTATTTTTGATTGAGCAGCTGTAAGTAATGAGTCATTTTTTCTTAGTATAAGTATTTATTTTAATTAGATCATTAGACCGAAATATTATTTTCAACAATTATCTTTCATGAAACAACTAATTTGTCTTAGAATAAATCTACCTCTATACATATATCAGTGAAATTCCATGCATTTTCTAGATAATGAATGTCCTATTCACTGTGAATAATGGTAATTGATTTTTTATCAGTATGTACTTCCCTTATTGAGTTGGGATTATTCTGTAATGATATTTAACAAAACTATTTACTGTTTACTAGTTTCATGATTTTCAAACACTATTTGCCACATATTTTGAAACATGTTTAAGTTATGGTAATGACTTCTCAAGATGTTTTATTAGGTAATATCCCTCTATGTATTATTTGCAGAGTATTTCTGTTTTAAAATTTAAGTCTTGGTTGCTTGAATCCATCTTATTAATGCTCCAGTAACATTGCTGTTATTAAAAATATTAAAAATTTGAAATGCGGCTACTATCAATAGTGTGCTAGATACAGTATTCCATTACAGTACAAATACTGCAGTTTACATAAGGTCAAACAATGTGTCTATGCACATTTTGGGTTCATGAATTGTATATGCATATAATCGTCATTTCCCCTCATATACAAAACAATCAATCAAATCTAATTATGTAAAATAAAAAGCATCAGAGATCTAAAGATCTTGCTCCTGTTCTCATCAAATTTCAAAAAGTCACCCTTCATATAATGTGGCGGTAAAAAGTTACAATCAGCTTATAATACTCACAGGAGAAAAACCTTTTAACAAAAATGTGTTAAGGCTTACGTTTGTCTTTCATGTCCATTACTCTCAAAAATCACAATCTTTCATCACCACATTTTCTTGTATTCTTTCACAATTTTCACAGTAAGTTATATATAATCATAGACTATATATACAGTTTTAAAAAATATATATATATATATATTAGCGGATTTTATAAACAGCCACTTTGATACATACTAGTGAGGATTCTACAAAAAAAAACTAAAAAAAAAAAAATAGTTAGATTTCATGCTTTATACACATAGAAGAAATTCAATAGAAAATTTAATAGCTCTTACAAGAAGCAGTTTAAAAATCACTACTTAAATCTGCACGCCCTAGCAAATACATAAGAAATTTATACGCAAGTTAAGAAAATAGATCAGTTAGTAATGGCAAGGATAGTTTTTATATTCATTACTTTTTTTTATACTAAGGAAGAAGATAAAAAAAAAATCCAAGACAGGCAGCTTTATGTCATGCTCCTTCAAGGCAAGCTAATTTGGGCCTACTGCTTTTATTGATTATGGCTCAATCTCCTATTTGATTATCTCACATTATTCATCATAAAGTTTACCTTCTTTAACATGCTGTTTTTCAGCATATCTGTATTAAATAGAAGTTTATATTTTAGGTAAACAATATATTGTCATTTGAATAGTATGACCGTACTTCTTTGCATATGGTTACATATTTTTTTAAATCTTAGATTATACAAAAAGCATAATATCTGTTTAAGGAATTATACTTCTGAGCAGAATTTAAAGTGCCTAATCTAAGAATAAATATTTAGTTAGAGTTTCATAATCTTTTACATTATTTTCTAAAATATATTTTCTGTATTATTTTGGGAGATTTTTTCTAATGATAATTAACAGTTTCATAAACTTTAATTTAAAGTGCCACATGAATATTGATAAAATTTAATTATTGCAAAAACTGTTACAAAAGCAGAAGATCAACATGTATCATATTGTGTGTCCAAAAGTTTTAAAAACAAATTAAATATATTTCATATTCACTAAATTAAATTGTTCCATTTCTTAACCAAATCAACAGCAATGTATAAAGAAGGTAGACTTTGTTTTCCAATGTGTGCAGCCCTTCCCCTTGCTTCTATTGTTATGTATTGATATAAAGAATTACGTCGACCCTTGTGGGTTATTGAGATTTTCATATCTGTATATATGGACGTTTTTTTCAGTTAGTGAACTGGTGGTCAAGGATCTTGGGAATGTACCCAAAACTAGGTCACTCTTACAAATCACATCTGTTGTTAAATTTTATAAGCAGGTCTTTACAAATGGATTGTTCTTCATGCAGTTAAAATATAAAAATACAACCTGAAATGGTTAACGATATCGAGAAAAGAAATTATGACAATATGTTGAGTAATATAGGTTATTCATGGTGTATTCATTTATGATCAGGTCCGTATATTATCAATATATTTTCAGAATACCACGGAAGATTTAGTTGCTTTAAGATATTGTAGAGAAAATTGTTAATTTAGTTGCCTAGCTATTGTTGTTATCCTGTTATATTGTTATTCATTTTAGTATTATATAACATGCTTTCAGTGAAGTTTTGTCAAATGTGAAAGAAGGAAAGAAAATTGCTTCCAAATTTTGCTCATGGCACATAAAAGTTTTTTTAAAATATAGGGATAAGTTGTTATACAAGTTATTAATCAGCAAAGCCAAAGGTTTCAACTGAAGGTGCCTGGGTTGTGGACAATTAATGTTTATTTAATTTGTTAAAATACAACTCTTCTTTTTTTTTTCTTCTTTTTTTTTTGTCAAAGTCCAAGAAGAATGTATGAAACAGTAGCCAGATTGTTATGATTAACTAGGATCTTATTTGCTGTTTTAGGGACATGAGTATAAAGAGCAGATGCTAAATCCTTTACGGCAAGAGACTGCTGCCTGCCATATCACACTGTTACAAAGTTCTACTGTAGCTTCATTAGCCAAATTTTGTTACATTTGCTGGCATCTCTAATATGAAGGCACATTGTACCATAGACCATTTTCACATTGTAGAAAGGCTCTCAGTTACGGAAGCAAAATATACAAGCTGATTAGCATGTATAATATATGAATATTATAATATTCATTGTTTGGTTATTGTGAATACTATATTTGCCAAATAAAGATTTTGCAATCAAGGCCCAGTTTTTGTTCCTTTTCATGACAATGAAATACAGATTATTTGGAGTATTGTTTACTTTAAACATATTCTTCCATCAATTGCTGTATTATAGAGTACAGAAAAGTATAAGTTCCAGTGGTCTAGTCAATTTTGTTACCACTTTTCATTACAAAAAGAAAACTGATGTGTACCAAAACTGGTTCAAACAATGTTAGTATTATCTCATTTCTAACATTATTTCTATTTGGACATAATAGGATCCACTCAAAATGAGATTTTTTTGTGCTGTTTCTGATATGTATTTTTATACCACAAGTAAAAATAACAAAAAATATTTTTTTTACAAATTAAATTTCACAGTTTTATCAACCTAGGATAACGACATTCAATCTTATAATCAAATGCCACAATACATTTTCTTTGTAACTTTAAGTTAGGGAGAAGTATATAATATCAACTTGGTTATACACTTCTTTGTTACTGCAGTACATTTATTAAAATGGAAACCACCACAATTTCCAGTTTCTATAGTGACTATGCTTCCATTTTAACTGAGTGTACATGTTAGTTTTTGCATTTGTATTCAGTATGTTGTTGTTTTTTAAGGGACTTAACAACAAGCAAAACCAATAAAGTTTAGTTTATTTGTGTAAATACTAAATATTATTATATCATTCATATTTACCTTGAAGGCTAAGTGATATTGCTTTGATTAGTAAGAATCAGCAGTACAAATGTCTAGACACTATAAAAATATTTACTAACATATGTTATTATCCTTTCTATAGCTCTTTTTACATTTATATGTACTGAAGAAATAAATGGTAATAATTGTAAAATAAATGCAAAAAACAAACATTATGATTTTATCACATTTTTATCTGTGCAGCAGATACCATAAGAGCATAATCTGATAATTTAACAAATATCATTCATGAATTTTTGGCATATTCTCAAAATTAACAAAAATAAATTAACAAAAATATCCATTTGCAAAACATATTTTAGCCAGAATTTGGTAAATATTCTAAAATTGGAATATTATCTACAATACAATATACAATGAAAACTTTCATAAATATTTTTTCATACTAATAGTTGCACAATTGAAGCATCTGGCAATCCTCATGGTGCAATACATAGCAAAATATCAAAATTTCAGAAAACTATTATTCAAGGCAAGACACATGGTCAGTAATTTTGATATGCAGCTCTGAACTCCCTAATGTTAAATCATATAAAAAAAATATGATTACCTTTCATTTATGTGATTCCTAAATTACCATTTCAAATACCAATCTAAATTCTTCTCTGAATTAAAGCTTAATAACCATATAATACAGATTGTGTGACATAATAGTATATATACATAATATATACATCTAAACTACACAATAACATATCACATTACCAGTTACTTAGAAATAGTTTTATAATCAGTCCTCAATTTAACAGTATATACAGAAACAACCCCTTTACTATAACATGTGTTATTCAAAAATCATATCACTCTAACACTGTATACATAGTCTCCAGATGATTTATCCACAAATTGGCTTATCAGGTATGCATGATTATGAATTCTGAGGTACCATGGTGAACAATAATAGCGTGGAATGGAATATGTGAAACATGAAGCCTCATCTCTAATGACCAAAAACTGTCATAAGACACATTTAGGTGTTCCTGGTCTTCATTTACAATACTTTAAAGACCATCACAACAGCCACATTAGTGTTAATGTACTATTGCCAAAAAAAATGATTGAAAAATTGTACTGAAATTGACAGGCCTCATTTTATTGTTAATGTATTTCATATGATCAATCTTTAATTAAGTGATATCAAATCATGTAGAAGCAATAAATATGGGCTGTTAGTTATTAACATATCTAAAATAGAAATCAAATGATAAATTATAAAATAAGAAAAAAATGTGGATGCAGTAAGCAACTGCAAATCCTACTTTTTCCTTCATCAGGCAACCTCAATTTCCCGGTGTCCTTTAATTATTGGATAAATGAGTTTACATTTTCATATTCAATCAGTCATACATAACAATTAAAATAATTATGTAGTTTAATGTAACTATGTGATAAAACCTATGAGAATAAAAAAAGATTTGAGAAACACAAATACTGCCCCTTCTAACATGTATCATATAACACTTTTGGTGGCCTGAAGATGAACAAAGGTAAAGTATAAATCATTTCAAAATCTCTATTCACAACCTTAAAATATCATTACATAACGTATAATCCAAAGTACTAATAACAATAGAGCCAAAGGGTACTTATTTTTAAGCCATGGCCCTGTTGATATAAAAGTTTATACTATATGCTATCATAGATACACTGCAGCATCAAATGTAAACTTGCCATTCCTTTCCATTTCTAAAACAAACCCAGTAGCAATCCGCACAATCGTTTGCTTGTTGAATTTGCTTCTATATGACCTTGGCCCCATTCATGAAGGCAGGGTCAAATCAAAGTGTTGCACAATAGTTTCTAATTGGCAGAAACGATGACTCTAAGTAGCACCAGTTTTGCTACATTGTTTAATGTAAAACTTACAAAGTTGTTACAAAAATTCTTTTTAACAAAATAGTTGTAAAAAAAAAAAATCAGTAAATCTTATAAATAGGGAAGGTTTATCATTCTGTGTGTATTGCATTGTTTATATATCACAAATGATTCAAAATTACACGCATAAGGAATGTTAGAAAATGTAGCTCTAAGACTAATGTAAGTCTCCCATTATACTATGAACAGCAAGGCATGTATAAACCATAAAACGTAATTCAAAGTCACTTTCTCAATGCTTCTCAGTAAACATTTTGGTGAAATAAATACCTATTTATCACTTTGTTCTTTCATGTATTAACATAACCAATGTACCTATGTATTTTCTTACTATTTGGAACTTAATATAATATCACAAAAAGATGCTTTACAAGCTGGACAACCTATCAACATAAGTCACATTTGATGTGGAAAATTCTCAACGACATTCTTTGGTAAGTACTGTGAAGAATGATAACACTTGACAGCATGAAATATTAACTTGTACCTCTTTCCTCATAAAAAGTACAGTACATGAGAAGATTAAATCATACAAACCATTACATTTCTGGGAAAAAAGTGTAGCTTTTTCCACAGGAGTTATTATCAAAATACTGTAATATATTTCTTAACCAAGCATTTAGAACACCTGAATATGTAAATTAGTTACAGCACCACTAGAACTAGAACTGGCCTCACAGTACAACTGGAATCTGCATGGTTATGTTAACTGCTATTTAACATTTTGAGGAATGGAAGAAAGAATTTTTATGATTGACCATAAACAACCACAGAACAAAATATTGCTTACACAAGCAATATCCTTATCAACCTATTTATCATGAATATGTATGGATACTATGAGGTTCATCGAAGATTGTTCCAATTTAATTTCTGATCCCGAGGTGTATTGTGCATCAGCCTGAAATAGCCAAATGTTTATCAGTCACCTACATAAAATAAACACTATTACCTAAATTTCAATATAAGCCATAAACATTTAGCACCTTCTGACCAAAGCACTCATTCTGAGGCTATCAACTGTATCTATGGTTTTTGTTTCATGGTATTTACCCAATTATAAAAGTACCTGTTTTCTGTACACACATCTCAAAATGTAGACTTGCATTATACTGCCCACTGTAACTACTGCTTGGATATTTTTTAATATGCTGATGTGGAGACTTCTGCTTGTTGATTACTTTAATAATGGCTGACTTACTGATTACTTTAAGATGACTTTCTAACACATACTTCCAGAATTCCACACATATTTACTTCCACAAGAAAACCATATAAAAAATAACCAGATAAGATTAATAAACGAGTAGCTCTTTTCACCCACCTTATTACAAGTCTGGCTACAACTTGATTTTTCTTTTCTTCTTTCCTTCTTTGAGAAACGACACTGCTTTCTTATCCCAGATTCTGTACTGCAATGCCTTTAAGGCTGTATATTCTAAGGATCAAAATAAAATACATCTCAGTAAAGTTAATGAGTCAAAAATGTCCAAAACATCTGAAAAACTTAGGCTAGAAAAATCTAACTTCATACTTCAACATAACTATTTTGAAATGCTATGTCATCTCCAAAATATGCATAGTTGTAGTTTTCATCACATATTATCAACAAAATTTCATATAGGGAGAACTTTAATGCTAATTCCAAATTCAATTGGAAAGAAAGGACCCAATATTCTGATAATAAATCAGTAATAACAACAATGACCTCTAGCAATCTTACCATTCTCTTCTCTAGCCAGGTTCACAGTTAGGTACTTGGTAGTGACACTTCTCACGGCTGATGGCTCTACACAGGGAAGCTCTTCCAGTGGCAAAATAGCTTCCCCTACTATACAGTCAGCTTGGACGCGATGTGCCATCTTCAGCACAAAGAGGAGGTGGCCGCCTGACTTTGTTCCAGTGTCAGTGTGGCTGATGAGGCTGTGGAGGCAATAAAATGCTTCAGTTAATATTGACAACATAGTCTACAGTAAGATTATATTTAACCTTTGTTGATGGTATGTTAAGTCTATTAAAGATGGTATTGACAAAGGATTTCACAAGAGGTATTTTCTCTTGGGTATTTTCTTTTACATTCCAATTGGAAATATATATTTCCCTGTATATCATCCACTGAAATGCAGCTAAGACTATTTCAAAAACACTCATATAAAACCCATCCTCTCTTAAACTCCTTATGACACAAGAAATCTGACAAACAAACACTAAAGCTAATCAAGTTACTTACAATTCAAATGATTCCTTATATACTGGACTTTCACTCTTCTTCTGTATCTTGGTTTTTTGATTCCTTACATTTGGGAACCACTCACCAGGCACAAGCTTCACCTGAACGTATGTATCTGGCGCCTTTCCAGAGGATACGAGAGGGAGGACATGTGTAGGTTCGTGATAGTTTTTAGGTTTCACTATATCATTAGCCATGAGGACTTCAACTGTCAGGTTACCAGTTGTGGTAAAGTAAGCCTGGAAAAGTAGGAAAATATAATTCAAAAAAAGAAGAAAAAAAGATATTATGAGTATGATGTATCAAACCCTGCTGCAAATTTCATGATACCCTGACATCAGCAAATTTATGCTATTCAGAGAGAGGAAAAGAAGGTCAGTTGATTATGTATGTTTTTTTTGTTTTTGTTTTTTCTACTTTACTTTACTTTACTTTACTTTACTTTTACTTTCTGCTGTGATTCCCTAAATTTATTCTTTTAGTAAAAGTTCCAACAAAAGTAATTTGAAAATTCTTTTAAAAATTTAAAACATACTGCATTCTAGTTCACCAACTCACTAATTCTATTGGAAACCTTCATCCACAACATAAATAAATTCTTCCGTCATGCCGATGCTCATTCCCAAACAATTATTAGAATCAAAGTTCAGTTACCACACCAACAGTAGAACCAAACACATGAATTCTTAAAGTCTGTCCTCTCCCTCACCAGAACTACAAGTCGAGCTGTCAGACTAGCTATAGGCTGGCTCTGCTCTTCAAACCTCTCTCTGTAGTACTTGGCAATGAGAGCCTCTGTTGGCATCTTCAAGTTCTCTAAAGTAGCCAGCAATTTCTGGTATTCTGAAAGCAAAAAAATTATCAAGTCTTAAAGGTATTCAGACCTACAGGAAAGGGGGGAGGAAAGGAAAGAGGGAGAGAGAAAAGGATAGACATAAGAGAAAAAGGCTTAGAGAGAGAGAGAGAGAGAGAGAGAGAGAGAGAGAGAGAGAGAGAGAGAGAGAGAGAGAGAGAGAGAGAGAGAGAGAGAGAGAGAGAGAGAGAGAGAGAGAGAGAGAGAGGAGAAGGAAGGGAGGGGAGGGGAGAGAGAGGGAGGAGAGAGAGAGAGAGAGAGAGAGAGAGAGAGAGAGAGAGAGAGAGAGAGAGGAGAGTGAGAGTGAGAGTGAGAGTGAGAGTGAGAGTGAGAGTGAGAGTGAGAGTGAGAGTGAGAGTGAGAGTGAGTGAGAGTGAGGGTGAGGGTGAGGGTGAGGGTAAGAGTGAGAGAGAGAGAGAGAGAGAGAGAGAGAGAGAGAGAGAGAGAGAGAGAGAGAGAGAGAGAGAGAGAGAGAGAGAGAGAGTGAGAGTGAGAGGTGAGAGTGAGAGAGAGAGAGAGAGACAGACAGACAGACAGACAGAGACTCTTGGAGGTAAACACAGTAAAAAAAAAGAGACAAAAAGAGACTCACAAATAGACCACAAAAGACATTAGAGATTATCCAACAAATCCTACAAATACATAAAAAGGACAGCCTGCATATTAAGAAATCAATAAAGCATTGAAACTGAATTGGATATTTCCCTTAAATAGTCAAAAGCATCTGTCCCACTTACCCTCAGTGCGTGCCAGCTGCGGATCAAGCCCTTGGGAATCGGTTGAAGAGTGAGTGAAGAAATGCCATGTGCGCTCAAGGATGGTAAAGACACCGTTGAAGAACTCTGCATTTTTCTTCTGTGGGGAAAAAAGGTCTTTCTTACCAACAATCTAATCTTGGCTTGCAATAAAGAATGCTTCCCTTTCTCTGTTCAACTATCTGTCAATGTTGTTTATTTCCAAAATGAAAAAATACTACAAAAACATAATGAAGGCTGATATTAGCAGTTTGTCTTACTCTTTATGCTGTTAATATATCCATGTATAATCATTCTATAGCTTCAATACAGAGGGTGATAAGTCCCTTTTAAATGCATCACTTACATCACAGTTGCTCTCAACTATGCTAACAAAGATAGCAACAAGAACACTCCAGATCTTCTGCAAAAATCTCTCAAAATTTGGCCTGGTTAAACAGCTATCAAGAAGAGACAAGTACTGGTCCAAAACTTTCTTCAGTAAAGGTGTTTCATTAACCATTTCACACGATTCCATAACTGCTTGGTTCAGGGTCTGCCGCAACTGCAAAGATAAATCATATCTTGCATAATGCAATTGACAACTACTACTACTACTACTTCTTCTTCTTCTTCTTCTTCTTCTTCTTCTTCTTCTTCTTCTTCTTCTTCTTCTTCTTCTTCTTCTTCTTCTTCTTCTTCTTCTCCCTTTTTTTTTCTTTTGCTTAATCTCTCATAAATATTAATATCATCATTACCATGATGGTTACATAAATATTATCAAACGGGCACTTAATAAATTGAGAGTTAAAAACTATGATAAACTTAAGGCTAAAGTTCAGATACAAATTATCTTTGTAGTATCAATCATCTTTTTCCAAAGCAGGATATTGATGGAAAATAATTTTAGAAAATCCTTTAAAATAAACATTCTCTTCTGGATAATATATATCAAAATCATACAACGAGGGGGGAAAAATTACTAAAAAATAAAAAATTACCTTCTTAATAACAATATCTATGAATTTCTTGATAGATGCTTCCATCTTTAATGTTCTGTTGGTGACGACAGGATATTTCCCCCTCTCTATATCAAGGGCAAAGCGTCCAGGGAGCTCTTTAATCTCTCCACATACATATTCAATGTTGTTTAGAGCTCTGCATGTCTGGAAGAAGCAGAATATATGTATCATAAATGGACTATAAAATATTAAATATTAAGTCTGTTCCAACAAAATTATCATACATTAGTACTGAGCAAGTATAGTTAACACAAGTTAATGGGAAGTAGGGAGTGTGAGGAAAAAAAATCTGGTAGAGCTTGGCAATTTTCTTCTGGTTCTGAAACTATCCCCATTCCCCTGTGCCAATGAGCCAATTCAACTAATCGTACCAGCACTTGATAAAGGAATGAATTTAAAAAGATAAAATAAGATTTCTTGTAATATATGGCAAGTACACTTACCAATTTTACTCTCCCTCATCCTGCACACACCCTTGTTTCCCTGAGCCAATCATGCAAATGTCTCCTGGCATTGTTGCAACCTCTTTTTTTATATGAATGGACATACTTAGTGTAAAATAAAAATTCTCAATATGAATGGGCATGTATAACCCATAGCACAAACAACTACACACCTGTTATAACACATCTTTGAAGACACTCCACTGTCCAAAGAATACTGTATATGACAAACTAACAAGAAAATTCAAGTTTTACAAACACTTTTTAAAAATTAGCTTGGTTATTACTAAAAATCTGATACTGTTTGCTGATGGATAGCTAGGCTATGGACAGCAAAGCATGGACAAAAAACTGCAGTTTTACAAAGCATTCAAACTTCAACATGCTTGCTCAGTCACTCACACACTTTAACCTATTACCGACGGGTGTGCCATGCCATGCCCACTGTGAGTTTACTTGTTTAATTGTTTTTACACATAGATGGCTACACTTGTACTAAGTCACCAATGAGCCAGTTATGAGTACTGCCTGTCTCGCCAGTTCACCCTTTTCATTAATTTCCGAAAATATTTTAAGTTATCTTATTTTGCTATTACTAATGTTTATAATATCATAGAAATTATAATGTTTGTAATATAATAGTAATTATAATGTTTATAATAAAAATAACACCATCGATATTCATTGCACTAGTAAAAAATACATTTTCCTGCCAATTCAAGGAAAGGTGAAATCAGGTAAGGCAGAACCATCTGCGTGTAGAGACATTTCACAAAAAAATATAAAAAATGAGCACAGCATTTCCCCCATTTTTTATTTTTTCCCTGGTGGCAATGAGTTAATAACATAGTTCTTCCTTATAAATAGTCATACTTTACTCACATACCAGGCCATCAATTAAAGAGGCAAATCATATTATCACTGAACATCTATATCTATGATTTTCATTGTGGATATTTCTACTTGACAGTGCAAGGAATTAATCATATTCTTGACTTTTTACTTGAATATTCCCTATATACAAACCCTCCAAACTCTTCAATGGAAACATTCTCAAAATACTAAAATTCCCTTACTGAAAAGAAAAAAATCTCTCACATATTAATTCTTTATCAGAGTCAGTCAGTCTACTTCTTATTTTCCCCCACAA